CCAATTCACTCACTCAAATTTAGAACGTATGTAAAAGTAGCCCTTCCCTGACAAAAATAGTGCTTTTGATGTCATTGTTTACTTAAAGTAACCAACAAATTTGCAGAATTGAAACTGTTGATGAAAGAGAAATATATTTAGACCATTCTGAGTCAAAAGTTACATGTCCATGAGTATGCATTTAAAAATTGAGGATTTATGCGTTCCATAGTATATTTATTTAAGATTTACAAAAAACCAGGGGTTATTTTTAGTAGTAGTTACCTTCGGAACGTTGATATTTTACTCAAGACTTCAAACATGGGTTGAAAATTGGCATGTAGAAAGGTGATACATGTACAATTCATGATATACCTGGTTTCTATATATGAAGTTAAACTGTACAAGTACCCGGCCACGTCCACTTGTATTTGTAGTATTTGTATATTTATCCATCTGATGAGTTAAGCCTCTTTCAACTGATTTTTATAGTTCGTTCTTATGTTATACTGTTACACCACTGTCCCAGTCTGAAATGGCCTATATCTGTACTCGACTGTACTGATGTTTACTCGACCAGTCTGAATTGGTCTGAAATTTACTTAATAATACTCGACTGTAGTCTGAACCATACTTAACAGTCTGAACTTGTACTCGACCCTTACTCGACCAGTACTTAACCATTTTATACGTGTCTGAACCATGCTCGACCTAGTCTGAACCATGCTCGACCTAGTCTGAACCATACTCGACCTAGTCTGAACCATACTCGACCAAGTCTTAACCAACCTAGACCTATTTTTTTGTATCTATCTATTGTATTTCATCAATTTAGGAACTGTTTTTAACAACAGCTATTTCCCCTGGCTAGAAATTTGAACAACAATTTGAAATTAAAAATGTATTCAATATAGCATTGAAACCAAAATTTCACAATAAACATAATATAACTTCATCACCATATTCATCAACACTTATATACATACATATATATCACCTTTAACATAAAAATAAAACAAGCTGATCAAATAATCTCAAAACTGAATTGTGACTAATATTTTCAATGTTATTCAAAATTTTTTGAATGTTTCAGATATATTTTATGGTTACTGGACAATTTTCACCATTAACTTAAGCCTTGTATAGATTTATGGTGTCAGTTGAGTTTAGTTAATAATGCAGTGAACATTTTTTTTATTAAAATATATATAAAATAGCATATAAAGCAACTTAATAAATTTAAAAAATGACACCTTTGTTTTGTTAAACCAAGAATTTAATATAATCATGATAATAGAACTTCCATAGTAATCCTGTGATAAACTTTTAAAAAAGGAAATGTGTTCCAAAGTTACAGTAAAAATTTATTTCAATTAAATTTAAATAATTTTTGTCAAAATTAAAGACATGGCATACAAGAAGCACTTTAATAAGGTTTAATTACCTCAGTACATGTGTGTTTTACAGGTAAAAAGAAAGCTCTATTTTTCTTAAACTCGTGTATTACTTATCTAGTGAATTCAAAAGGCCTTGCGATTTAAGTTTCACAGGATGTTGCAATTTTGAATGAATGTTATTTAGAATTTAATACTGTCTGACCAGGTGTGATCTTTTTCATGAGTCTGCCCCAAGCAGGAGGTATTACTTTATACTTCACCACTAATCAGAAGAACAATTTTAATAATTTCTTTAATTTTTATCCCTTTTTGATATATTTCTAAAATAAGGTTAAACAATTTCAGTGATTTTGTTGGCTGTTGTTACCTCATTAAAAAGATAATTATATAACTATTGTACATTTTTTGTATGTAACCATGCAACCTATGTAGTTTTTATTTAGGAATTTAGGAAAATTAATTAAAAAAAAAAAAAAAAACACATGCCAAAAAAGAAGCACCTAAAATATTTCAAGATCTTTCTCTTATATATTCAAACAATTGTCAACAAATTATTTGTGACTTTTTGTCCTGTGACTTTTTGTCCTATCAAATTTGTGACTTTATGTCTTGTGACTTTTTGTCCTGTGTCAGACTTTCTGTCCGCTTACCAGGTTTAATTACCCTCAGTATAGGTGTGGTTTTTAGGTAAAAGAAAATCTTTTTTTAATAAAACTCTAAAACTTTAAAATTGATATAATTAAACTATTAAATAAGATAATTTGAATTAACTTTCTCTATTCGATAAATCTGAGAATCATGTGAGAATGTAAAAATCTGTTTTTATAGTATATATCTTTATTTTATTGTAGCTGTTGTCATGTCAGTTAAAAAGAAATTTATTTTAACAGTTAAAATTTAGAAAAAGTAGAGGTTATCTGGTCCAGTATGGTTCAGACTGGTCGAGTATTGTTCAGACCTTTGGTCGAGTATGGTTTAGACTGAAAAATATAGGTCGAGTACAGGTCGAGAATGGGTTAAGACTGTTTCAGACTGGTCGAGTAATAGTTCAGACTATTTTCAATGGCAAAGATAAGGGTCAAGTACAAATCAGTACAGTCGAGTATGGTTAAGACTGGGGTCGAGTAATGTCGAGTAAAATTCAGACCAATTCAGACTTGTCGAGTAAAAATCAGAACAGTCGAGTACAGATATAGGCCATTTCAGACTTTTACTGGTTTGTAGTGTATGTATGTGCCTGTCCCAAGTCAGGAGCCTGTAATTCAGTGGTTGTCGTTTGTTTATGTGTTACATATTTGTTATTCGTTCATTTTTTGTACATAAATTAAGCCGTTAGTTTTCTCGTTTGAATTGTTTTACATTGTCATTTCGAGGCCTTTTATAGCTGACTGTGCGGTATGGGCCGTACGGTGACCTATAGTTGTTAATTTCTGTGTCATTTGGTCTCTTGTGGAGAGTTGTCTCATTGGCAATCATACCACATCTTCTTTTTATAATTAAGGTAAAATATTTAGAAAGCTGTGAAAATTGAAACATTTGGTTAAATAGATAGAGATTTTTAATTGGTGATCTGACACCTTAAGATATTTCTAACCTAGAACTGATGCTGACGGTTCTATGACAGATTATTCTGATAGTTCTAAAAAGCGGAAGGAAAGGGAGGGGTGTCGGTGGCCGAGAGGTCTAAGTAGTTGAACTACTGTAACACTAGCCTGTCAACACTAAGGTTGTGAGGTTGAACCCCGCACGTGGTAGATGCACTCGACTCTAATTTTAATTGACTAGGATTGTTAGTTTTTCTACCTAAGGTTGGTGGTTCTTATCGGGCACTCCGGCTTCCTTCACCAATAAACACGGACTGCTACGAAATAGGACGATTGTGCTGAAAGTGGCATTGAACACTAATCAGTCAATCAATCAATTTAAAAAGCTGTTAGAACTGATCCCAAATGTATGATATCATAGTGATGTCACAATAATTTTAAATTGATCGTAACGATAAATCATTTTTGTACCCCATGCAACGAGGTTTTGGTGGTATAATGTATTGGTCCGTCCGTCCGTCCATCTGTTATCAATTTCATATCGCAATCATATTTCTATTTGATCTTCTTCATACTGATAATGGTAACATTTACCAAAACTGCAGATAAATTCAATAATCAGAAAATTCTTAAACAGGAGATAATTTTGGGAGGGTGATCAAAACTGCGTCTTAATTAAAGCATCATTTAATCCTCTTATGAGTTCAAGAATACAATAAATTGAAATTCTGGATCAGTTGTGGGACTTGTACGACTAAACCACTATGAAGGAGAAGTTCCAGTTATTTGGTCATGTCACGTATGTGTGTCAAATAATTCATACAGCTGTGGTATGTTCACCCTAAACTAAGAATAAAAAATTTAAAAATAATGCATACAATGTGAATTGATTGTTTGTCTTTCCTTTTCTGAAATGACTGAATAAATTCGTTCCAAATAGGTGAATATTTGTATTGAAATCACATAAAATCCTCGAAAAACGTTTTTACATTTGTCTGCAATTAATGAACTCAAATTATCAATGCATCGATGTTTCTTTAAACAACAAATATGTAGTTGATACATACATACATTTCTGGTTGATTGATATGTAACGAACTTAGTGTTACCGACTCCGTTTTTATTACATTGATCAATTTGGTATTTAGTTGGAAGTAAAAATGTCAAACATCAATGTTTTACGACTTACGACGCAATGATGTGACGCTTATTCAAACTTTTTGTGGTAATTATTTACCTCTTTTTATCATTTTACATCACTAAACATGAATTTATATATAAACAACATATCAATGATGAAGAAAAAAATATATGCATGGGTAATTGGAGAGTTAATGATTTTAAGACAAATTTATGAATGTTTTTCTCCCATTTTATGTGCTATTTTAGTTTCAAAAAAGTTGTTTCTTTGGCCTTAATTATTTTCCCATAAAAAGGACTCTTTTATCATGGAACTTCATTCTAATTCGATTTAAAGATTTCCTATAATTAAAACTAATGTGATGTTATTCCCTAAAGAATTTACAAATTCTGAGAGCACGTTCATAATCTTGGAAATTCTGTTTTTGTCTGTACTCGAGATCAACCCCTACTATAAAGATCAACCCTATTGGAAATTAATTCTTATATAAATTTATAAAATGCTTGGTCAAACTGAACCAAATGTTCCAGACTAAATTTAGGGTTGATGTTACATTCAAAAACCTGTTTTTACATCGGTTAAAACATTAACATTAGAAGAAATTTGTTCTGACTCATAAATTGAAAGATTCCTCTTCCTTTGAACTTTATGTAAAAGTTGTATTGATTGTGATACCTTCCAACTTAGATTGTCATTCTTGCTTAACGGCCAAAAAACAGTTTGCATAAATACATGTAATAGGACATTTTCGGTTTCATTCAGCATGTTCAACACAATCGGAAATCACATAAATGTAGCATTGCCAATATATTCTGAGGTTAACCAGATTATGTATTGTATGACGGGTGTTTTGTAAAAAAAAATCTCTTTTCATATCAGTAAGTTGGCTATCACTAGACCACTTGCGAACTCGCAATAATGTTAGATTATTTTGTTTAGAAGCAGAAAATCCAAACAACGAGGAATTAATGTACTATGCCTCTACATTACATGGTGAATCTTCAATACAAAGGCCAATACCTGGTACTACCGATTATATGAAAGGTGTAATAAGTGAAAAGTGGATGAAAGGTAATATGTCAAAATATTGTAAAACTTAGTAGGACAATTCATGATTTATTTATGATACATTATTTAATGACAAAAGTATAATTATATATGAAGGCAAAGTATACGTAATCGGACGGTATTTCAGACTCTAGGGAAAATTGTGTATGGTAGATATCGTTGAACTGTATCTGACTATTTACAAATTGAGAAATGTAGCATTTATATTTACAGTGATACAATCCATTTTTAACTAATGCAAAATTTCTACAAATGTGTCGAATGTACTTAAAAAGCAGAGACATAATGCCGTTTTGTTATTTCAGCTTGATATTTTGTCAGGCTTATAATTTACTATGCTAGACGCGAGTCTCTAAATAGGATTAATCAACGTCGCTCGAATCAAAACAGTAAATAGGCCAACAACAAAGTGAATGAGCATTTCCATCCTCAATATCCTTAAAGTTGATCAAAATATGACTAAGGCTATCTATAAGCATGTCTATGTATCCTTTTCTTTTAAAATTAAAATGATTGTATTTATAACTATCTGCTTTACAATATCAAAATACATTTTTTTTAAAGATGAAGTACATTTAATTATATATATAATCTTTGTAACAGATGTAAATATGTTGAACAGTCCAATATTTTGAGGAAAATATACAGATGAAAATAAGATCTACATGTTTTTAAATAGAGGTATTGGCTCAATACTGTTGTAACGCCTCCTTTATTTAAAAGGATAACACCGTGTTTGATACATATGTTGTCAAACCTATCAAACACGTTTTGCCTTTCAGAACCACAGTTTGTTGGATCTTTTGATGTTGGTGACCGCGTATTTATCTTCTTCCGTGAAACAGCTGTTGAAACTGATCCATCAGAAAAAAAGATATACTCAAGAGTAGCAAAAGTTTGCAAGGTATACATTAAAGAAACTCTACTCTTTTGCGTTTTGTCATGTTTAAAAAGAAGGGAACCTTTAAAATATTTTTTTCAAAAGTTTAACAGAAAAAATAAACATCAAATTTATTTCTGATTGCCTTTATATGTTTGAATAAGCATAATCTGTAGTTATTTTAGGCATTGTTTTAACAAAATATTCCTACATGTTTTAAAAGTAGTTTTTATTAGACTCTACATTAAATGAATTTTTATATGAATTACACTGTGTCAGTAGTTTTAAGATATATAACATCAAAACTAAATGAATAATTACTTTTAACTTTAAAAATATATAAATAGAATATCAACCCTTTGGAATACGTAGAACATAAACTACATCACTACTACATTTTTATTAAGTCACTGGTATGCAGATTTTCTCTTATTTAAAAAAAAGTACAAATAAATCGTGACACTGATATAATAAAATTGAGAATGGAAATGGGGAATGTGTCAAAGAGACAACAACCCGACCAAAGAGCAAAAAACAAGTAAAGGCCACCAAAGGGTATTCAACACAGCGAGAAAATCCCTCACCCAGAGGCGGGCTTCAGCTGGCCCCTAACCAAAAATGTATACTAGTTCAGGGGAAATGGACGTCACACTAAACTACGAAACATATAAATGAACCAAAATTAAAAAAAACATACAAGACTAACAAAAGCCAGAGGTTCCTGACTTGAGACAGGCGCAAAAATGCGGCGGGGTTTAATGAGTTTTGTGAGATCACAACCCTCCCCCTATACATCTAGCCAATGTAGAATAAACAAACACACAGCAATACGCACAGTAAAACTCAGTTTAAAAGTAGTCCGATGTTAGAATAGGTAACAGACGAGCCTAAGCAAAATACCAATGATCAAAATAAATTAACAAAGGACAGGACTACTAGCAGTAACTGACATGCCAGCTCAAGACCTCAATTAAACTGATTGAAAGCTTATGTCTTTATCATATGAAAATCAAGCACAATCCCTCTGATGCAGAGACCCTATGAGCGAATCAATATAATTTTATAAAATGGCATCTTTATACAGTATTGTAACTATATACCTTCTGATTAAGTCTGTTTAAAAGTTTAGTTAGCTTTTGAGGTGAATGACGACATTTTTGTTCTTTGTATAGAATATTATCATAATAAATGGGATGTGAAATACCTAAACGTAGAAGATGTCTGTATGTTGATTTATATTTACGAATGATGTCCTTGTACTGATGATAAAATTTAGTAAATGTTTTGACAAGTTAGTTATATCGAAAACCTTGGTGTAATAATTTTTTTTCAGTAATACAGAGATTTATTTCGTTAAAATCAAATACGTTGTTACATACACGAGCGAATCGAACAAGTTGAGATATACAAACACCATATGATGGTGACAAGAGAATGGCACCATCTAAAAATGGATAATTAACAATAGAAAATACAAATTCATCACTTTTATTGTAAAGTTTGGTATTAAGCTTCCCGTTAAAGATAAATATATCAAGATTCAGGAAAGGGCAGTTTTCATTGTTAGTATTAGCTTTATTTAAAGTCAGTTCAGCAGGGAAATTTTCTTAAAGCCAACATATCATCCAAATATCTAAAAATTTTGCATCAGATGTTGTTTCGATGGGTCTTTGCTGATTTCAGTCATAGATTGTAACTCGTAACAATACAAAAACAGGTCCGCAATAAATGGTGCACAGTTAGCCCCAATTTGAATTCCGATAACTTATAACGATATACGGAATCTCCATAGCGAACAAAAATGTTATCTAGTAAAAATTCAAGTGCAGTTATCGTACCAAAGCAGGTCCAATTGACATAGTTTTTGTGTTTGTTGTTATTAAAAAATGACAACTTTAGACTTACTGGACATCAACCAAATAAAATGTTCGTACTTTGAAATATAAGGGAAGTTTTTACATTGAATTCATGATACCTGAAGAATAAAATTTATTTCATTTTCATATGCAGTGCACTTCAAAATGAAACTCGTCTTCGATCTGCATAATTTTCACTTCCCACAGAATCATTTATCTTTATCGATTCTTTTAAATCGACCTGTCTCAATAGCTATCTGATGAGCACTAATTCTAAATTGAGTTAAGCTTTTTCGATACTGAAGTTTATTAATTTGATTAATGTAATTCCCTTTTGAATATGCTTTTAAATTTGAAATAAGTAAACAATTTTGCTTTATTTAACATTTACATTATCATCTTTAGTATTTTCCAGTAAATCCTATATCAACTAATTGAAATATTTTCAACCTTTTCAACGTCAAATTTTATTATTTCAACACCAGCACATCTTGAAATATATATAATACTAGAATACGAAGATTACTTATTGCATTTGTGAGTGTCCATACTTGTGACCAGAGCTTTTTTTAACAAATGAACCTCTTCTAAACCATTAATACTTTATTTTTTTTTAGAAGTGAACAAATAATGCCAATATGCATTGGAGTACGACCTGGCTCTCCGATAACACCTAAATTACATGATTGTTCTTATTTACCACAAGAAGGTATTTGTAGAACTACAGAGACTGTCTGTTGGGCATACAGGAATTTAAAAGTTCCCCATATGTCTGAGCCATATGGTAAAATCTGCTTTCTCGTGTGGTCGAAGACATGTAAAGCACTATCAAGTTTCGGGATGTTTTCACCGAAAGTACTTTCTAATTCAAAGAAAGCCTTTAACCCCCTTTGATACAAATTATATCGAACAGTAGAAAAACTTACAGGATATGAAAAAAATAACTACTAAATATTTTTATAATTTCTTACATTTTCAATAGGTCACCATCAAAACAAAAGTTCATTTAATGATTTACCACCTTGATCAAACATTACAATTTTTATGTTTTAAAGATTAACCTGAATACATCAGCTTTAACAATACTCTTCTAGTTTGTTTAAACATTTCCTGTACCTTACTGACCAGCAGAAGAAAGAAGCACAACATCATTAGCATACATTAAACAATTAAGTTTTGCCCTTCCTATTTCAGCTGGTACACAGAAAGTATAAAAAAAACACGGTAAATCATTGACGAATATCTTGAAAAGATTCGGATTTCGATTATCCCCTTGTCTAACTCCAATGAAACAAATGTTTTTCTAAAATCTACAATACATAGTTATAAGAAAGTTTAGTTTGCAATACACTTTTCAATTAGAGTATTCAAAATAAACATGTGATCAACTGTTCTTGATCTTTTCTGAAAACCAATCTGTGTTTCAGAAATTACATTAAGCTTAGTTAAATAACTATCAAATCTATTATTAAGAATGGAATTAAATAATTTTCCAATACAACTTATTATTGCAATACCTCTATAATCAGAAGGATTATTTTACGAATTTGATTTAAATATTGGCATAATATACCCTGTTTTCCAATTTTTTGGTTAAAAACCAGTGTATAATATATTATTAACATGATTAAACCGTTAAATGCATAACATTGAAGCAAAATTGACTCACTACATCTGAGCATTTCGTTTGAATATGACTTTCTGAACGTTGTCGTGCTTACAAAAGGCTTACTATTTGTAGAAAGTCTTTATATTGACAATTGAAGCTACTCAAGCTAATACATATTTTTCTTGAACAAGATGTTGATTGTAACTGTATATAATATACGATAGTATAGTCTGATAATGTCTTAAATGTGTCGCTGAAATAGAGTCATCAACTCATATAACAAGTGTCCATGTTGTGCGCTTAATTAAACTATATTGGAATTAACAGATTTCCATTCACATCATGCACATAGAGAAATGTTTCAAGAAATACTTTAAACTTTAAAATTTTCATTTGCTGTCACTGGAAATCGAACCAAATCCCGTATGACTGTTATGTGTTATTGATAGTAAACATATTATCGTGGGATCCGAGCATGTAATACTAATATATGAACAATATATGATAACTCACCAGGGTTTATTCAAGTGATAGCAAATTATACACAAAATACAGCAAATATATATAAGCAATCAATACAATTAATAAACAGTCAATACATGTCGTTGAAGGTGAAGAATCAGAATTTACCATTATGCGCACTACGTCATCGGTTCATGATGAAGTACATATAAAACATGGACTGGTTCAGTACTATATATTGGTGTTCAGCACCACAATATCGACGAAACCTTTCGATTCAAGGTATACATAACGACACTCCTATAACGTAGAAAATACTTATCATAGATACCAGCCTTGTAATTTTCCGCCTACAAAAGACTAATCAGTGAAGCTCTAGTAGGAAGCCTCTTTCGACTAGATGACGTAGATATAAACACTATAGATGACCATACGGCCTTCAAAAATGATCAAATCAATGCTGAATAATAAACTTTAAAGACCACGAAGTGACAAAAATGTAAAACAATTCAAACAAAACACAAACAGCCTGATGTGCGTATAACCAATGATTGACAGGCTCCTGACTTATGACGGGAAATATAAAAAAGAAGATGTGGTATGATTGCCAATGAGACAACTCTCCACAAGAGACCAAATGACACAGATATTAACAACTATAGGTCACCGTACGGCCTTCAACAATGAGCAAAGCCCATACCGCACAGTCAGCTATTAAAGGCCCCGAAATAACAATGTAAAACAATTCAAACGAGAAAACTAACGGCCTAATTTATGTACAAAAATTTCATTCTAGGTTTTTATATTTTGTACTTTTTTTCGAAATGTATTAACGGTTTTGTTTTTCCCTTTGTTTTCCTGTTGTTTTTTTATGATTTTTTTTATTATTATTTTATTTTGTGTTTTATAAATGTTAAAACCAATTGAATTAGCAGGAATTTTCAAAAGATTATTTTGCCACGAGATTTTTAACCATCCGCAGTTGTTTCGTCCTAAAGGTTTGATTTTAGTTTTTTGGGGAATTTTATGTTGACGGTAAATCCTAGATAGTCCATAAAATAAGACACAGTAATTTTTTTATGGGGCGATTTAGAATT